TACTTTAAATTGTTTCTAGATATTGTACCTAACGAAATAGCAAATGTAAATAGTTATGCTGTATTATTTAGGGAGTCATGACAAGAAAAATGTCTGTGTATGTTCAGTACAGGCGCAGTGTTTTTCAAATTATTATTATTATTATTATTATTATTATTATTGCTGGGGATTGAATCCAGACCTTGTGAATGCTGAGCAGGAAGCAGGGGGCTCTACCTCTGAGCTATACTCCTGGCCCCTGAATGTTTTTGATTCATCATTGAATACACAGACATGGAACCTGTGGAGATGGAGGGCCAACTGTCAATACAGGGACCAAGGAACAGTCTCCCTCCTTTCCCTGTCTGCCATCTGCCCAGGTCTCCCCCACCACACACAGGCAAGCATTGGTACCTGTTTCTTTTGAATTCTTTCAGAACTTTCCAACCCATAACTACAAGTAAACACAAATATATATATATTCTTTCCCCATTTAACCCAAAATTCTGCGTATAACCTGAAAGTTGTGCCTGTCACTCATCAGAGTCTCTTGGAGATCTGATATGCCGGTGCTTTGAGGGTGGCCCCGTTCTTTTCTACACCAGTTCCCTGCTCTTGGGTCTTTAGGTCACTGAGGTCACTTAGCTTTCCATAGGTCGCTCCGTAGCTGATGGAGTTGAGATTCCAGCCCCAGCGAGGCTGAGTCCAGAACCTGACATCCAGACCTGAGGACAAACAGCTTCAAATTGGTGGAGTATCCCCTAGCCTCCCGCCTGGGCCTGATCCCCAAGTGCCTTCCCCAGGGTACAGGTGGCCTCCTCCTGAGGAGACCTGGGAGGCATCTAAAGGTCATTTGGAATAGATTGGGGCTCTCAGATTCCGTGGGTGCAGGGCCCAGGCAGACTGATTGACAGGCTGGGTGTCGGACAAGAGGACCGCTGTGGAGCGTGCCTAAGAGGCGTCCAAGGGCTGCTGCTCCCTGCAGCCACTGGTCCATGAGGGAGACCTGTTCCAGGTCTTCTCTGTTGACAACAGGATCCGGAAATCAAATGAAATCGAAATACAGTGTGAGACGCCTGGTGTTTAAATGTCAACTGATGGAAAAACACAATCCTGTGTATCTGCTGGTGGAGTAAATGGTTGGGGGAGAGAGAAAGGAAGAAAGATAAGATTCAGAGATAGAGAATGGGGGAGAGAGAGTGGAAGGATCTGGCAGACTGTGAAGCAGTGGGTCCAAGTGAAGGCTGGGTACGTAGTCATTGCAAGATTCTGGCTTTTTGTCTAGAGACGTAGATTTTTTTTTTCTTTTCCAAAAATTAAAAACTGTCCTCCACTGAAAGAGAGAAAACCAAATGTAACATGGGAATCTTGGTGACCTCCTGGCTTCAAACCAAACCAAACCAAACCAAAATCCAGCTGTAAAAGATGCTTTGAGGGGCTGGGATTGTGGCTCAGCTATAGAGCGCTCCCCCAGCACGGGCGAGACCCGGGTTCGATTCTCACCACCACAGAAAAATAAAGGCACTGTGTTGTGTCCATCTGCAAAAAAGTTTCTCTCTCTCTCCCTCCATCCCTCCCTCCCTCCCTCCCTCCCGCCCTCTCTCTCCTTTAAAAAAGATATATCTTG